AATATGTGTTCAGTCAATTTTAGTTCTTAAATATATGAATACTCAGAGTAATGTTAGATGTCAATATACTTAACCCAAACAAACACATGCAATAGCCCTTAAACTTTTAGATTGGGCACTTGTTAGTTTCCTATACCCTTTTTCTCCACTCTCCTCATGATTTTTTGGTTATCTGGCAAATGCACAAAAGGAAATCACATGTAGCTACGACTTTACACCATGAAATACTCAGAAAGTCACCTTAGAGGAAACCAGTACTTCTAAGAAAAAGCAAAGCCATGAAGTTCAAAAAAAGAAAGCTCTATGGTTGGCCAGTTGCCCATCTTGAAGTCCCTAAAAGGTCCTGTGATCTTTTGGTGAACTGACTAAATTGCTGTGAAATCAAATTCCCGGAAATGCCTCCCAATAGAAAGATTGATGAGGACAGAGGAAAGGGACCAGCCGCAATGGGTGGAGGGGGGGTGGGATGGAATGGAATGGAATGGAGTGCTCACTGGGCCTGGGAAGTCCCATAGGCAGGTTGAGGATAGAGCACCCAGGATCAGTTCTTCTGTGCATAGGGCAGGATGAGTATCAGCCATCAAGTCTCCAAATGCCTGTAGTGACACTGAGCCTGAGGCCTGGCAGTCTCATCCTAGAAACTTCCTATCTCTTCCTGTGTTTCTACCATTGACTAAACTTTGGGTCAGGATACTCTTCAGTTTATAAAATTATTTTCCAGATAACGGAATTTCTATGACAACCAATCCATTGAACATGCAAAATCTAAGTCCTTCATAGCTTGTTAAAATTTGATAAACTCATTTAAAAATGGTTACTGTGTTTTCTTCTAGAAAGGCTTTTTTCCCCCTCAATCCTGTAAAACGTTGTAATTGCCTTGGCAAGACAGTCATGTGGTGGAAATGGAAACATGGTATGATGCAATGACATGAGTTGTAAGAGGGGCCAGTAGCTTCTGATGTGGTCACACCCCTGGAGTCTGTGGGTATAGTAGTCCATTTTCATGCTACTGATAAACACATACTGGAGACTGGGCAATTTACAACAGAAAGAGGTTTAATGGACTTACATTTCCACGTGGCTGGGAAAGCCTCATAGTCATGGCAGGGGTCAAGGAGGAACAAGCAAGTCATGTCTTTCATGGATGGCAACAGGCAAAAAGAGAGCTTTTGCAGGGAAACTCCTGTTTTAAAACCATCAGATCTTGTGAGGCTTACTCACTATCACGAGAACAGCATGGGAAAGACTTGCCCCCATGATTCAGTCACCTCCCACTGGGTCCCTCCCACAACACATGGGAATTACGGGAGCTGCAAGATGAGATTTGGATGGGGACACAGAGCCAAAGCATATCACTGAGTATTCATAGGTTGTAACAGAGGCCCTTTTTATAGTTGAGTAGGGCTGGGATGCTGCTAAAGTAAAACAGTACAGATAATTTAAAAAATTAACTCTAATGGAAAAAAGCATCCCAGTTGGAATGTGGAGGGCACTGTTTGCGTGCTGTCCCTACCACCAGCGATGCGACCTATGATTTCTTTAAACTTGTTTCCTTGTTTGAATAATGTTACTGATACAGTCTTATAAGTTGCTCTGCAAGCTGTTAAAATGCTTCACAAATATTTGGGTAGTTACCTGTGTGTATATTTATACTCCCATGACATTATTACATCGTTATTTTATTCTACATCTTTAAGCAAGTGACTCTACTCTCAAATTCAGTACATCTAAGCCAATATATTTATAGAGGGGAGAATCCTGTGCTCAAGTGGCACAAATACTGATTTGAGAGTTAGAGAGCTCAAGTATTATTTCTCCCATTTTCTTCCCTCCCTCCCTCCCTCC